TATATATACACAAAATTATAATTTAGTTATATATACTAAAAAATATTTTGTCACAATTGAAATTAATACGAAAAGTTTTATTATCTCGAAATTTTAATCAGTGGACTGTTGGCATTTTACGATTTCCACTTCCGGCGATTTCTACATTTTATTTATGCCGTTTTCTTTTAAATACTTATTAACTATATTAACAGTTTATAAGATCATAACTTGCGAATGAAAGAGATATTTGCGTGTTCGAATGTACCTCTTCCTTTCGATATAAATGTTACGATGCATCCCATTTGGAATGACAAGAAAATAATATTCTTCTGAAGAAATTAGCAGCTCTTAAACATCAATCCGTGAGTCTTGAGATACATTTTATAGCATGTTATATACAGACGAAAAATGACAGAGAAAATATACGATTTTTTCCATTAACTCGAGTTTGTTGCATCGCTGTAACCATCTGTCACGCCTCTCCTACACCACCAAGCTTCTTCTCGCAAATTCGTCGCCTTTCCTCACAATGAAATTTTCTAACCCGGAAATGAACAAACGATTCGATAGGTTGTATTTTACACGTTATTTATTCATCTCTATAAACAATTTTATATATGAAAAATTACTTTTTCTCTCGCTATTAGATAAGCATGTGCATGATGATCCGATATGATAATTTAATTTTGTTATTACTTGAAAGGAATTTATTAAAAATTGGAATGATCTCTTCAATCTCCTAGAAAATTTAAAGAATAAAATCCAGAAAATCTCTTGTCTAAATAATTTGATGTAAGTTCAGCTTTGGATATCACGAAGAAATGTAATCGTCGCATTTTGTATTGCAACGAATAAAACTATTTTCACGCGTTTGAATTGAGATCTGAGCACGCCGATGCCAATGCTTGATGTAAATTACAACCGGGGCCATTTCCAGTTAAACTAATCGATTTAAGAACACTCCACGAAGACATCGATGAAGCCTTTTATCGCAACCTGCACGAGTTCATAGACAGCGATTAACCCGAATTGCCTGACGAAACGGGTTTATTCGTGGCACGTGAAAAACATTCACTTCATCGCATGCACGCTTTGAGCTACAAAAACTTCTGAGGCTCTACGAGACAAGCCCATTCAAAGTGTCTGAGCGTGTTTGTTACGTACATGCACTAACCAGAAAGATTGAAGAAAATAGAATGAATCCATTATTTCGCCATTCTACGGCGAGATATTGAGTATTTTAAAACCAACTTTCGCTTCATTTAGGCGCCTGCAGACAGAGACGTTGGAAGACAATCGAAGATGCAAGGGAACTACTTAGGTCAGTAACACAAAGGAAACTTCTTCCTTTGACTTAAGAAATTCTAACAACATGCATAATAAAATTTAAAATAGATTATTAGTAATTTTTACACATGATAATCTAAGAAATATTTAAACACCTATTATTATGATTTTTTTCATAAAAAGTGTTATTATAAGATGTAATTATAATTATGCTTTATTTTTATTATGTTTTATTTGTTACAACTAAAATTTTAATTATTTTGCTTTTTTAAATAGTCATGAAATACTTTCCCCATAGAAAAAGTCACATTTACATCACAATAAACTCACAATGGATAAATTGTGATAACGCTGTGAGATTATTAATGAAAGATTACAATGACATGTCACATATCTTGATCTGTATATGTCATAGTGAGTGCAATTTTCATAAGTTGATATGCGTCATAGCGATATCATACTTGTGACGAGCGAACATTTCGCATCTCATCATGATTTTGTTGTGATATTACTGTGACTTGCTTTTTTTACTATGGAGGTTACATGTACATTGTATAATTTCGAGAAAAATCTGCTTAATCGAGTAGAGTTAATTATGAAGATTATTTCATTTTAGCACCAGGCAGGCCTATAACTTTCAATACGTCTCCTATCTTCTTGCCGGACGGCCAACGAACTTTCGGCAATCCACTGAGCTATCTTGGTGGTCCGATGTTACCACCCAGGAATAGATCCTCTATCGAATCAGTGTTATCATTAGATTGATCGTGGATTATCTATACTTTCCTTTAAAGGACTATTGTGAATGTTCACAGGAACAACGAATCGTATTTCTCGATCAAATCGGAAAGTCTCGAACGTGTTGAGTGCCAAATAAATATTATTTTTTTATACAGACGTTATTAAACAAAACAGATTAAAAGAGAAAAAGAGAAAAATCGTGTTAGATTATCCAAACAGCATGAAAATCTAAAACATCAGAAAGATATTTGTATAGTATATATATTTGGAAAATATTTTAGATATCTTTTTTAGACTTTTATCTCTTTTGAATAATCGTTTACTTTAATAATTGCTACAAAAATAAATATTTCTTGATTGATTAACTTAATTAATATTAAAGAACATACTTTATGCACTTAACACATTTGATATTTTCCATTTTCAGTTCATCTTTCATTATCAGAGTTATCCGTTTCTCGAAAGGCTCGTGTTAATAGCTCGGTGCGAGCAATAAGCTAAATAGTTTCATCAAAAAAGATTCGCTCGGACCAATATAGCGATCGGCGAATTTTACTTGTGACAAGACGTTATAGTTGCTAATAAGGATTTGAAAACGTGATAACGAGCTTAACAATAGTAACTAGTAATCGTGACGAACTCGATACGGTCTCTTTGCAGCTAATAAAAAGCTGTTGTGCTCAAAGATGTATATCGTTCCATACAATCTCATGAGGGTGCTTGTAAAAAATATCTTGTAAATCCGTAGGATAATTTCTAATCTGTATTATTGTAAAGTGAGCTGATAAAAGTTTCTCCGTTCTTCGGAAAGAATCTCAAAAGTATAAAAAAGTCCACTCTTTCTTTACCCCCCAAAATTTTATCCTGTTAATAATTAATACGATGAACGAATTTCAAACTGCAGAAGACTTCGATCAAATTCTTTGATTAAATATTAACTCTATTGGTAATTAATTCAATTGATAGAATTTCTAACTATATAACCCATTGTTCCCGAACCAACTTTTTCCATATATGTTAAACAGTAAAAAATTAATAATTTTATCCATGTTAATAAAATAGTAAATTGATAAATCTATTACTTTCATTATAAATTAGAGTTTGTCATTTGTATACTAGATTAGCTTACTTTTTTCATCTTATTCTAATTCTAAGAATTTGAGAAAGATATTATAATTAAGTTCAAATTAAAGAGACATTAAAATTAGAAATCCACACATGTTAATAAAATATGTTAATAAAATATAATGGATACTGTTTGATAATCCAATCAATTATTAATCAGAGTTTATCGAAGTCGTCCTGAATCATCGAGTCTAATGCCTGGTTTATGCTTCGGTCTTAATCCTAAAATCCTAAAATTTAGCCAATGGAATACAGATTTCAGTTAGAACCAGTTAAAACTGGCAGCTCTATTGGCTGAATTTTAGGATTTTAGAGGTAAGACCGAAGCATAAACCAGGCATTAATCCTCATCCTAGTCAAGGATCAATCAATTCTCTGTACAACGTCATGATAGACATGTTATAAGTTTATACCGTGTATAACTATCTTGTAAGTGTACACGATAAAATGATGTAAGAACAGAATAAAAAACCATTATTACCATCACGAGAGATCGAGGGTGCAGTGCAATGGAGCGCAGTATTTAATAATCAGTCATGTGAATAAACAATTTCTAGAGAACTTTTATCTCTCATTTCCACCAATTAATAAACTTACATACCAGCGTTGCGGTCACTTCATCCGCCATTTTGCTTCAGTATATGTTCGACCGAATGACTGCGAAGCAAGAAAAGATTTATAAACAATCCCCGAAATTAATTCCTTTTTGTTCCTTCTTGACTCATATTTCCGTCAACCTAAAAAAAACCCGAATATCATTTTTATGCAACAATAAAAAAAATACAAAGTAATTTCACCGTTAAATTTAAATTTTTGTCAGCATTATAAAGCAAAAAGAATAAAAATTGTTCAAAATAAAATTACATGCAAGAATTGTAACTATATATATACATATATGTATTATATGATATCTGGAGCACGACGCTATATATATATATACATATATCTTTTTCCTCGGAACGTTTTCCCTGGTGAAAAAGTTTCGCTGAAATTATTCCACGTTTTGGAACATTTCAGCGAAATTGCTGAAAATTTGCTAAAACTTCACTGAAAGTGAATTTTTCATGCAACATACTGAAAAATCACTAAAATCCAACCGAAATTTCTCTGAAAATTTTGCTGAAATTTTTCTGAAATACGAGCATATGTCTATAGGACTTTTTTTCTTAGTTTTTTACTCCTCTACACGCTCCCGAAGTTTTGCGATTTAATTTGGAAACACCCTGTATATCTTTTTCCTCGGAACGTTTTCCCTGGTGAAAAAGTTTCGCTGAAATTATTCCACGTTTTGGAACATTTCAGCGAAATTGCTGAAAATTTGCTAAAACTTCACTGAAAGTGAATTTTTCATGCAACATACTGAAAAATCACTAAAATCCAACCGAAATTTCTCTGAAAATTTTGCTGAAATTTTTCTGAAATTTTGTCGAAAATGAATTTTTCAGCTAAAAATCGCTGGAATTAAACTGAAATTTTTTTAAAGTACTGAAATTTTGTTGAAAAGTTTTTCAAAACGTGGAATAATTTCAGCAACATTTTTTTACCAGAGTCGCGTCGGATCGGAGCTCTGAATAAAAAATTGCGGAGCTCGAAAACGATCAGTGTATCGATAACTGATAAATATTGACGCTGACTACTTACGTACTGCATTTCCGAATCGTTAAAAGATGAGTAGATCGCACGTGAAATTATCGCCAACGGAATTATTTGTCAGAAAATTACACTACACGAACATCGATCATCACCGCGCGCGTCCGACCGATCGTCACGACTTGAACATCGCGATTGCGAGAATCGCAATCTCGAAGCACACATTTCAAATGCTACGTAAATGATAGGAACGGCAACTTCAGGCCGCACGCAAGTCGCATCGCGAGGTTGAGAACAATTGAGACTATTGAGAGTCCCGGTTACGTCATAATAAGCAACATGGCTGACCTTCGTGAGTATTGACAAGACGCGTGCTGCTGTTTACAAACTAGACAAGGAATTGGATACATCGATGAATCTGACCTCATCGGGTCAGATTGTGTGATCTATTCTGTCATGGCACAAGCGAAACTCGACGTGCCGGAGAAATCTGGCGGAGGTATTAAAGAAAAGGACAAGGATTCCGAGGAAAAGGAAGGTACGTACTTGTGTTATACACTAACATGAATCATTGCGTTATCATCCCGATTATCCGAGAAACTATATTCCGTGATATGCTATGTAATAATATATTATGTAATTTTAAATAAGGAAGATCTACACGACTACTGTTTATATATTATAATAGCAATCGCATTATGTACAATACATAACATTAATGTAAACTAATAGTGTTATATATTATATTATTATAATATAAAAAGTATGTATAGGAAGTAATCATGTTTTAGGTCGATATTTATAACTGATTCTTATATTCAAGACTGTTTTAAGTACAGTTTTAAGATGTCATGAATCAATCAGAAGGCTATATTAGCATCTTAATACATCACTTACGATGGTCTTGAAATAATAACAGACGGCCGATATTTACAGTCGATTCTTATTTTAAGATCATCTTAAGTAGTGTCTAAGATGCTAATATGGTTGGTCCCTCTGATTGGTTCATGAGATGATATATTTTAAGACTGTACTTAAGGCAGTCTTAAATATAAGATTTGACTATGAATATCAGCCCATGAATACCATTCTTATATTTTTCTTACATAGTACTTTATTGATTCTAGCAAAAGGCAGATGATATAGTTTATCACAATAGGTTGTTTTTTATTGTTGCAGTGAACTGCATTAGAATCTTCTTGTTTTTGCCAAATTTCAAACATGTATCTATTTCATTTTAAATATAAAAAGTGTACACTAGTTCAGCTATAAAAATAGTTCCTTTAGGTCATTACATCCTTAATGTTATCAATGTTAAATAAAGATGAAATAATTCACTGTAAGTGTATTCCATTTGACACTCACAGTGCTTATGAGTCATCAGTTGTCCTTGTTTTTATCTTTGTTATTTAACAATTGATAAACAATAAAGATAAAATAATTCCTGAAGCACTGTGAACAGCAAATGAAATAGCCTATGATAAGCTATAATTGATTTCTTATTTTTTATATAATATTATAAATAATAACTGCATTGAATCTTTTAACTTGTTAATTAATAAGAAATTTCAATACTTTAATCTTATTTTTATATACATATTGATCTATGTGTTGCTTTGTTAGGTCCCACTGTCGTACCAGAATGCGCAGTATGTCTGCAGCCTTGCATTCATCCAGCGCGATTACCCTGCAGTCATATATACTGCTATTTGTGTGTGAAGGGTGTCGCTAATCAGAGTAAACGATGTCCAATGTGTCGTCAAGAGATCCCGCCGGATTTTCTTGAGAGACCTCAGTTGGTGGAAGTAGAAGAGCCTCAGAAGGAGTCGGAACATCCCGAGGAAGAATACCAATGGTTTTACGAAGGCCGAAATGGTAAAATATTAATTTAATTAAAGATTACATTAAATTGAAGTTGGTCAGCATTTAAAATCTGCAATTGTGTTGTCTTTTGATGGGAAATTCTTATAAATATCTCATTTATTGTTATATTTTGTATAAATTTCTCTAGTTTGCAAATTCTTTTAAAGCATTTATACATGGGCGCACAAAATTTGATATCCTACCCCTTCTTAGGTTGGTGGAAATATGATCCGAGGACAAGCAATGATCTGGAGACTATTTACAAACTAGGGGACGCGCAATGCGAACTTTTGATCTGTGGCATGCTTTATGTAATTGACTTTGTAAACAAGTATCAATATAGAAAGTACAACCCACGTTATAAACGTAATATCAAACGTGATAGAAAAGATGCTCCATGCAAGGGTGTCTCGGGTGTACGATAACACTTATAACATAAAATATATGATTTATTTGCTATCCAATTTCAAGCCCTTATTTTACAGCATATTGAACTATGTTTATATATACAATATTGTATTAAGATTATATTCTATATTATACACAATAAAGCACGTACATATGTAGGCGGGAGGGGGCACTGGCTCCCTTAAATTTTAGCAAGAAATAAATTATAAAAATTATTAGCTGCGTTCAGCCAAAAAAACAATTTTACAACTGTTATAAAATTCTTTATTTTTAATATGATTGACTTATACATTTAAATTTAGTAAGAAACTAATAGCGAATTCGATTGGACGCACTCAGTGCGCACTGATGCACATTAAAGCCGTTGTACACAAGTTAATATAAAGATGTGTTTATAAATAAACATAAAAACTGGTTAAGTCGTGAAATACTCGATACACTTTATTGTGCCGTAATTTTAGATAATATTAGGTAAAATATATATGTATTTTATAATTCGAAATATTTGCTTTTCCTTTTAACACTCAAATTAAATTTCAACTCAAACTCAATGTATAACGGCTTTAATGTGCACCAATGCGCACTAGTGCGCCCAATTCGCCATAAGAAAAAATCACTGATAATTTCTTATTTAGATTCTTTAATAGCTTCACTGAAGCTGGCTCGCGAAAAGAAAGAAACTGAAAGAAGAAATATTAACAAAGTTTATTGAAGTCTTCGAACGTTAACCATAACATAGGTATATTTTAATAAATTTGGTGTGAAATTTTGTACGCCCCCTCCCCCGACTGAAATTCTGCTTACGCCCATTCAATGAAGCATTGCATAAGTAAAAACAATATTAGAAATAAAAATGGAATGTGTGCGCAAGAATTATGTATATATGCTAGTATATGAAGTATTGACAAGTTTTAATAATTAAAAGAGTTAATGCTAATAATAATATAACTAAGACGCTCTTAATATAAAAGAAATATATTTCTTTTCAATAAAACCATATTCTAAAAATATGTTTCTTTTTATATTTTCCCAACTGCAGTTTTTTACATGTCTGTTAATTTACTGGCAATGACGCATGATCTATTTATTCTCTTTCTTATTGTAACATGGAACAAATGGCTTTTAAGTAAATTTTTACAGGTTGGTGGCAGTATGATCAGCGTACAAGTATCGAATTAGAAACGGCATATAAACAGGGTAAAAGGACCTGCGAGTTATTGATTGCAGGATTTCTTTACATTGCCGACTTTGGTTCGATGCTCCAGTTACGTAGAAATGATCCTTCTAGACGAAGGAGAATCAAAAGAGATCTGTATAACGTTCCAAGAAAAGGAGTCGCTGGATTACGACTCAACGTGCAGGACGAAGAGATTGTGAGAGAAATAAGGGGCGCAGAGCGACCAGCTAGTCCTGCAAGTGATAGTATGGGTAAGATTGCAATAAGCGGAATAATAAAGAATGCTTTTCAGTAAGAGACTCAGATGACACATTATAAAGCCTGTATTAAATTAGAGATTGAGATTGGATTGAAATTTAACTAATCAGAAGAAAGAAAATCAATATCGAGTTGAACTTTCAATCTCAATCTCAATTTCTAGTCTGATTGACCACGAACGATTTTGTCAAAATCCTACGAGAAAGGAAGATGTATATACCATTTCCTTCTATATGCATATACTTTGCACTAACTTATGCCTTATTCTATAATTTGAATGAAGACTGCAGATTCAAATAATATAATTTAGAGTAAGACAGCATATGTACTTTTCTATCGTAAGATTTTGACAAAATCGCTCAAACTCTAGCCAGACTTTATTATAAGGTCTCTAATTTTTATTATGATATACTATGTCATCTGTGTCTCTCGCTGAAAAGCTCCTAAAATTGTTTATAAGAATATCTTTGGTCAAATATAAAGAATATTGTATTTACAGGTACAGGAGACGGTACAAATACTCCTATACCACCTAGTAATACGCCACAGACACCTGCAGGTGGGACAGCAAGTGGTGACGCTACGCCTTTAAATGATAGAATAGATCAGAGGTCGGACTCCTTGCATCAAGTCCTAGAACAAATGCGCTCTCTAGTTTTAAGAGAGCATCTGTCCTTAAACAGCGATAACGAATTCGAAGAAGATACGGAAGACGCATCGATTTCGGATCATGCCACTCTTTCATAGTTACAAACATCGAATTTATATTTATCAAAGTTCGTCGTAATCTTATTTCAGGATATCCAATTTATTTCCATACTTTTCGTATTGCTATTCAGCTCAATAAGATAGTATTCTACACACACACACACACACACACACACACACTTCATATTTGCTAGAAGTGTATCAATATTTAAACTTTATTGATCTAGCAAATTACATTGCTCAATTACGTATGGAAATTGATATATCTACAATTAAGTATTTCGAATTAGATAGCTATCTTTATTCAGTAAGTACGCTCTTCTCTCCCTGCTCTTAAAAACTGTTTAATTACAATTATAATAAGACAAGAAAAGTATCAATTAAGTTGTCATTGAAAATAGTAAGAGTTTGCGAAGTGCGGATTTACAATTAACAAAATAATTACTTGTTGATGAATGATGTACTTAAAAGTCTAACTTTGAGAATTACTGTGTCGGATAGCAGCAATATAAATTTATTGCTGTGACAACAATTAGTCCTATAAAATAAAATAAATATACTATAGCTATTCTAAAATATAGATATATTAAAGTTTCTATAATAAAAATGTGTTCATGCCTTAGAAAGGCGCATAAAAAGAGAATATTATAAGAAAATATGTATTTATTAAAAAATTCGAGTGCAGTACTCGCTAATTGATAATCACTAGTTTTGAATAAAATCTGTAATCTTCAATGTTTAGAAATATCAAATTATCTTCTTCTCTTGTAATGCACATAGAAATAAAAAATGCATTTTTCTCGGCAATTTGTAGCTTATTCTCCAAGTAAAACAAAAAATTTTTTTAAATCCCATAAGAATACTTATTAATTTAATGTATGCAAGATATGTTTGTAAATAGATTAAAATATCTCATATATTATATATATATATATAAATATTCCTCAAGGAAAATTCTTGAAAAGCAAGATAATAAAAGAAAAAGATTAAAAGCAAGATAATAAAAGAAAAAGATTAAAAGCAAGATAATAAAAGAAAAAGATTAAAAGCAAGATAATAAAAGCAAAATAATAAAATCTTTTTTTTAAAACACTAGATTTGTTGAGTTTATCTCAGTTTACCTTCTTTTTCTACGCTACTGTTTTTCAATATTTTAATATCGCTTATATTGTAAACTTCCATAATTATTGCAATTTGTTAATATCGTCCTGTGTGAGTAATTATATTTAAAATAACTCGCACAGAAAGAGAGAGAAAAAGAACGATATTAACAAATTGCAATAATTACGGAAGTTTATATTGTAAACAGTAATCTTCAATGTTTTTTATCTACGAATTTATTTACGAAAAATCGAATGTATCTTCAATAATTCATATATATATTTTTAAATATATTATATATATATATGATTATTATATATATTCGATTATGGCTGCGGTCTACTTGACGCTACAAACGCTTCGAAGCGTTTGAGCGACCAATCGGAACAAAAAATTTTACGAATTGACTAATCAATGAATGCTTCGAAGCGTTTGTAGCGTCAAGTGGATCGTAGCCATTGATTGTTCGAACCGTTTGAATTTAGCGCCCTCTTGACACTTCCGATGACGTAAGAAAAATCCATTCGTAGATTATCCACATTAAAACAAAGGATAAGCGCCAAAAGTAGTTAGTTTTTCGAAGAGCGCGTTTGCGTAGCTTGGAATAACGGATTTATATCATTAGTGATGAGATAGATTGAAAAAGAGCGATGCGAAAGCTACATTGAATTTCAGGTAACTGTACAACATCCGAGTACTCGTGTTCCGTTCGTTTGCGAATTTTTTTTTCTCTTGTTAGAAGTTACGTATTCGCATTGTCGTTTGGAGTGTGCGTTGTAAACACCACTTTCTTCGTTCGTTCGCTAAAAGGGTCGATAGCAAGGGCACGATTATTTCGGCAATTGTATCGCCCAGCTTTCGGCAGCGAAAGCGGGTAGAAGAGGGAAAGAAAGAGAGGCTGAATGAAGCGGAACGTGCTCACGAATTTCATTTGGAAGATATGAAACGTGATAGGTAACGTTGAAATGTTACAGGCTAGAAACGACGAACAGCGAAATCGCGTCGAGTTGCCGATGATTCGAGATTTGTCAGTTCGAATTGAAACGAGAATACTCGGTTACCACGTTGTCTTTTGCATGGTCTTTTGGCCGTGTAGATTCATGCAGATTGCGCCTGCATAATCAGCACGAGACGTAATTTAATACACGCGATATCAAAACATTCGTCCCTCTGCATTGCGAATGAAGGAGAGATAGTCTTGTTTGTTGTGGACTAACTATATGTATACCAATATTGCAGGAATCTCCAAACAGAAGCAAGAAGTACAACCCAGAAGACTGACACGAATAAGAAATTATTCGACCTAAAAAAAATGTTGCCAGAGCGATCCAACATGAGCCAGCAATCGACCTCTGAACTCGTCGTTTTTGTCACTCATGTGGAACCTGATGACCTATATCTGAAGATATGGGCCCAGGTGGACAAACAGGCAGCCACTGCCATTGAGCAGTATATATATCCTCTGATAGAACAATTTAATCAAGGATATGGCTGTCCATCTAAAGCTAATAGGTTGATGGTTGGATCGTTATGCTGTGCTAGATTTCAGACCGAAGGTTACTATCGAGCAAAAATAATCAGTGTACGTCCCGATAGCATGATTGTCGTACAGTTTATTGATTATGGCAACATGGAAGCTTTATCATTGAACGAAATCCATCTGTTGGACAACATACGTGGAGCAGAACCTCTACAAGCTTATCCAGCGATGGCAACTGAATTTACGTTGCTTAATGTATTGCCTATAAATGGCATTTGGGAAAATAGAACGATTGAGTCGATTAAAAAGACTCTATGTTATAATGAATACAGAGCATTGGTTCAGATGATGAATAATCATTACCTGATTAAACTGTGGTATAACAATGAAGATTTCAGCGGGTTGTTGGTTAGGGAACGTATGGCTCTACCAGCCACTTTGCAAGACATGTTTAGGTATAATTTTTTATAATTATTTTTTTAGGTTTAATAAGATATATTTTTAATCTTCTGCCAGTCAAGTTGAATTTCGAAGGTACAGTCGATTGACTATGAATTCTGGTACATAAATTTAATTAAATAAAGAAAAGATTTCTATTTTCAATCGAATCGAATCTTAATGCTTGAAAATATTTATATGCAAATTTGCAAATACTAAGATCTACTTTGACTGAAAACAGAAATCATTCTCTGATTTATTCTTATTGTCCTAAATTTCACTTCAGACAGTTTCAAGTAATGTGTGTGTCTTAAGATGCTAATATGTGTGTGACTCTAATTGCCTTATGATATCTTAAGATGGTTTTAAATACAAGAACCGACTATGATTAACACCCAAAAACTCAAGTTGCTGATGTAAGATGCAAAATTCCACATGGCCAACAGAAGATAAAAGATTACTTTCTTTTTGTACTATATTAAATAATTTTTCATTTTTCATTATTTAGACCAAAACATTCGCCGCAACCTCGATTGCTTCAACAAATACCATATCAACAACAAAATAAGGGCAATGTGAATAACTTTGCAGCTATGCCAATAATGCAAAATCCAAATCATAATGCCAATGTACAAGGGATGTACCATAAGACTTTTTCTCCTAATGTAAATCAACCTAAACATATTTCTCAACCGATACTGCATCATCCGCCACCACCACCCATTCAAGAAGCGCTCGTGTTTAAATCACGAGTATTAGATGTGGGCTCACGTCATGACGTATTCATATCGCACGTAGAAGACGGCCCACAAAAATTTTCCATACAAGTTGAAAGTGCGAGAGATGTACTGACTTGTCTTATGACTGAAATAAACAGTCACCCGAAAAAACCATTGCAAGAACCACCATTACCGGGATCAGTTTGCTTGGGACGTTACAAGGATCCTGGAGGAGACAGAGTACTATGTCGGGCGGTTGTAATGTCTGTTATGGAGCATAAATGCAAACTCTATTACGTCGATTTTGGCCATACAGAAGTTTTGCCGTATACAGATATTTTTCAATTGCCACCTGAATATATTAATCCCAAGGTGCTCTCTATTCGATTTACCTTAAGCGGCTTAAAAGAATTAATTATCACACAGGACATGAAAATGTATTTTAAGGAACTAGTATACAGAAGATTACTTGTTCTATTTGTCCGTCCACCAGAAGGACCACCGTTGATTCAGTATGGCGACTTGTATGACAATGGTGTTAATGTGAAGGACCTACTGAAGAAAGCATTTCCAGAACCTGCTGCAATGATGCCAATAACATATTCGTATCCACAATTAAGACGATTAGCAAAAGATTTCCAGGAAGTTGTGTACGTTTCTTACGTAGAGTCATGTAAAAAATTCTTTGTGCAACTTGACAGTGGAGTAAAGTCTCTCGAGTCAATAATGGCTGGCCTGACGCAATATGCTAAAACCGCGTCTACTTTAAATATAGCACAACTGAAAGCAGGACAACCCTGTGCGGCTCTATATGATTCACAATGGTATGTTTTGAAATGGCACAATGTTCTCTATTATTATTCTCTGAATTGATAATGATCCTCGTATACCTTTTTTGTTTTAGGTATCGTGCACAAATTCTTGGCATTGTTGGAGACAAAGTCAAAGTAGTATATGTTGATTATGGAAACGAAGAGGTATTACCTGTAATATCTCTTCGTGTAATTCATGATGATTTAGTAACAAAATTGCCTGCACAAGCTATACAGTGCGCGTTAAATGGTTATGAGGTGCTTTCGTTAGATCAAGAAGTCTCCAATCATTTCGAAAGATTAACACTCGAAAAACGTTTTTACATGAAAGTAGTTGCTGCACAACCCAATGGCCTATTAGTTGATTTATTCGAATTTGATACAATGAGGAGCGTTCATCCTCAATTATTAAACAATCTATTCTGCGATAAAACCGAAAATTCTACAAGCTCGCGAACTGAAGAAGTTCAACATCCTGTAAAGAATGAATTTCAAAGGTTATAAATCATAATCCTTAATTTGAAACGATATCGATATTAAAATTCAATAGATATTGATATTAAAATTAAAGCAAACATTTCTTTTCACGAATTGATATAATATATTTATTATATGCAAGTCATATGAAAATCTAGGAAAATGTGTAACATATATATATTTTATTATAATATAAATTATGTTTAATATTATTACGTTTATTATTGTTTATTATTATGTTTATTATTATGTGTATTTAAAGATTATGTTTAAGCTCTATAAAATATTTATATACTTCTATTGAAAAATATTAGCATTTTATGGTACAATCTGTTTCGTATAATTTTGATATTACGTTAAATTTTTTTTGCTTTAATTTTTAATGACTTTTGTGTGGTTAATTCTCTTTATAAGTACATATTCAATATAATATTGATAATTTTTGTTTTTTCATTAACGTTG